TTCCTTCCCCCCCTTTGGTTTGGTGGCGCTCTGATTGACGACTCCCCGGGTCTGGTGGTCTGGTGGTCTGGTGGTCTGGTGGTCTGGTGGTTTGGTGGTTTGGTGGTCTGGTGGTCTGGTGGTCTGGTGGTCTGGTGGTCTGGCGGTCTGGCGGTCTGGTGGTCTGGTGGTCTGGTGGTCTGGTGGTCTGGTGGTCTGGTGGTCTGGTGGTCTGGTGGTCTGGTGGTCTGGTGGTCTGGTGGTCTGGTGGTCTGGCGGCCTCGCGGTCTGGTGGTCTGGTGGTCTGGTGGTCTGGTGGTCTGGTGGTCTGGTGGTCTGGTGGTCTGGTGGTCTGGTGGTCTGGTGGTCTGGTGGTCTGGTGGTCTGGCGGTCTGGCGTTCTGGTGGTCTGGTGGTCTGGTGCTCTTGTGCTCTGGTGCTCTGGTGGCGTCGTCGGGCAAAAGACGCAAGCACGAGCAAACGCAGGCCAGCCCAGAGAGGAGGGGGAAATAACGTACCAATCTTGCGATTGGCACGGTATTTCCCCCTCTTCGGCTTGGCGGTGCTAGACGCACTCATCTGTCACACAGGCCCCCTCTGATCTGGTGACCTGCTCATATGTTACACAGGCCACCTCTCCCAGACAGGCTCCCTCTCCAAGCTGAAGCTCAGTGGTGCTAGACGCGCTCTATTACACAAGCCCCCTCTGTTAGACAGGCTCCCTCGCCAATCATATTAAAACATCTCATTGGTGCTAGACGCGCGCCTCTCTTAGACTTGCGCCCCTCTGTTAGACAGGCTCCCTCGCCAAGCTGATTAAACACATCTCAGTGGTGCTATACGCGCCCCTCTATCACACAAGCCCCCTCTGTTAGACAGGCCCCTTCGCCAAAGCTGATTCAGAAAGATCGCGGTGGTATATTGCACGCGCGCCTTTGCTAGACCTGCGCCCTCTGTTAGACAGGTTCCCTCGGCAGGCTGATCACAAAGATCTCAGTGGTGCTAGACGCGCCCCTCTGTTGCACAAGCCCCTCTGTTAGACAGGCTCCCTCGCCAAGCTGATTGAAACAAGTCTCAGCGGTGGTAGGCGCGCTCCTCTGTTCCACAGGCCCCCTCTGTTAGACAGGCTCCCTCGCCGAACTTATAATATATATATATATACACTCACAAAAAATCGGTGGTGCTAGACGCGCTCCTCTGTTAGACCTGCGCCCTCTGTTAGACCTGCGCCCTCTGTTAGGCAGGCTCCCTCGCCAAGCTGGCTAAAAAATCTCAACGGTGCGAGACGCGCTCCTCTGTTCCACAAGCCCCCTCTGTTAGACAGGCCCCCTCGCCGAGCTGATTCAAAAAACCTCAGTGCTTTAAAAAATCTGAGTGGTGCTAGACGCGCTCCTCTATTCCACAAACCCCCTCTGTTAGACAGGCCCCATCGCCGAGCTGATTTTTTTATCTAAGATAAAAAATGGTGCTAGACGCGCTCCTCTGTTCCACAAGCCCCCATCTGTTAGACAGGCCCCCTCGCCGAGCTGATTAAAAAACATCACTGGTGCTAGACGCGCGCCTCTGTTAGAACTGCACCCTCTGTTAGACAGGCCCCCTCGCCAAGCTGATTAAAACATCTCAGCGGTGCTAGACGCGCTACACTGTTACACAAGCCCCCTCTGTTAGACAAGCCCCCTCTGTCAAACCGGCCCCCTCTGCTAGACAGGCTCCCTCGCCAAGCTGATTAAAAGACTCTCAGTGGTGCTAGACGCGCTCCGCTGTTAGACCTGCGCCCTCTGTTAGACAGACTCCCTCGGCAAGCTGATTTAGAACATCTCAGTGGCGCTAGACGCGCTCCTCTGTTACTCAAGCCCCCTCTGTTAGACACAGGCTCCCTTGCCAAGCTGATTCCTCTGTCAAACCGGCCCCCTATGCTAGACAGACCCCCTCGCCAAGCTGATTTTAAACATCTCAGTGGTGCTAGACGCGCTCCTCTGTTGCGCAAGCCCCTTCTGTCAGACAGGAGCCTGTCTAACAGAGGGGACTTGTGTAACAAGAAGCTCGTCTAGCACCATTGAGGCTGTTTTAATCAGCTTGGCGAGGGAGCCTGCAGCTTGGCGAGGGGGCCTGTCCAACAGAGGGCGCAGGTGCAACAGAGGCGCGCGTCTAGCACCACCGAGTTGTTCTTAATCAGCTTGGCGAGGGAGCCTGTCTGACAGAGGGGGCTTGTGCAACAGGGGAGCTCGTCTAGCACCATGGATGTTTTTTTTTGTTTGTTTAATCAGCTTGGCGAGGGGGCCTGTCTCACAGAGGGAGCTCGTGTATCAGTGGAGCGCGCCTAGCACCACTGAGACGTTTTAAATCGGCTTGGCGAGGGAGCCTGTCTGACAGAGGTGGCTTGTGCAACAGTGGAGCGCGTCTAGCACCACTGAGATTTTTTTAATCAGCTTGGCGAGGGAGCCGGTCTAACAGAGGGGGCTCGTGTATCAGTGGAGCGCGCCCAGCACCACTGAGACGTTTTAAATCGGCTTGGCGAGGGAGCCTGTCTAACAGAGGGGACCAGTGTAACAGAGGAGCGCGCCTAGCACCACTGAGATGTTTTTTGATCAGCTTGGCGAGGGAGCCTGTCTAACAGAGGGGGCTCGTGCAACAGAGGAGCGCGTCTAACAGAGGAGCGCGCCTAGCACCACTGAGATAATTTGTTTATCAGCTCGGCGATGGGAGCCTGTCTAACAGAGGGAGCTTGTGCAACAGAGAAGCGCGTCTAGCATCGCTGATATGTTTAACCAGCTTGGCGAGGGAGTCTGTCTAAACGAGGGGCAGGTCTAGCAAAGGAGCGCGTCTAGCTTCACTGCGTTTTTTTGTTAATCAGCTTGGCGAGGGAACCGGTCTAACAGAGGGGCGCGTGTAACAGAGGAGCGCGTCGAGCACCGCTGAGATCTTTTTAATCGGCTTGGCGAGGGAGCTTGTCTAACAGAGGGAGGGCTGTGTAACAGGGGAGCGCGTCTAAGAGAGGAGCGCGTCTAGCACCGCTGAGTTTGTTTTTAATCAGCTCGGCGATGGGAGTCTGCCTAACAGAGGTGCTTGTGTAACAGAGGAGCTGTCTAACAGAGGGGCGCGCCTAGCAAAATGAGCGCGTCTAGAACGACTGAGATGTTTTAAATCAGTTTGGCGAGGGAGCTTGTCTAACAGAAGGGGCCTGTGTAACAGAGGAGCCCGCCTAGCACCACTGAGATGTTTTTAATCAGCTTGGCGAGGGAGTCTGTCTAACAGAGGGAGCTTGTGTAACAGAGGAGCGCGCCTAGCATCACAGATAATTTTTAATCAGCTGGGCGAGGGAGCCTGTCTAACAGAGGGGCAGGTCTAGCAAAGGAGCGCGTCAAGCTTCACTGAGATTTTTTTAATCAGCTTGGCGAGGGAGCCGGTCTGACAGAGGGGCTTGTGTAACAGAGAAGCGCGTCTAGCACCGCTGAGATGTTTTAATCGGCTTGGCGAGGGAGCCTGTCTAACAGAGGAGGGCTGTGTAACAGAGGAGTGCGTCTAAGAGAGGAGCGCGTCTAGCACCACTGAGATTTTTTTTATCTGCTTGACAAGGGAGTCTGCCTAACAGAGGTGGCTTGTGCAACAGTGGAGCGCGTCTAGACCACCAGACCACCAGACCGCCAGACCACCAGACGACCGCCAGACCACCAGACGACCACCAGACCACCAGACCACTAGACCACCAGACCACCAGACCACCAGACCACCAGACCACCAGACCACCAGACCACCAGACCACCAGACCAACTGACCACCAGACCGCCAGACCACCAGACCGCCAGACCATCACCAGACCACCAGACCACCAGACCACCAGACCAGACCACCAGACCACCAGACCACCAGACCACCAGACCACCAGACCACCAGACCACCAGACCACCAGACCACCAGTCCACCAGACCACCAGACCACCAGACCACCAGACCACCAGACCACCAGACCGCCAGACCACCAGACCGCCAGACCACCAGACCACCAGACCACCAGACCACCAGACCACCAGACCACCAGATCACCAGACCACCAGACCACCAGACCACCAGACGTTCCAGAACGCCCAAGAGCACTGCCCAGGAGAATCTGTAGCCTACCTCTCCTCCTGAACCTGCAGGGGGCGGCAAACGACCTCATACGACGACAGCGACGCTACGTTCACCTGGTCATAGCAGACTCCCTCCTGCAGGATGCGGCAGCACTCCTCATGCTCCACCACGCCGGGGTCGGCATCAGTGAGGCGGAAGAGCGTCTTGAACAGCGTGTGTTTCTCAAGAGGCGTGGCTCCATTCTCGCAGATGAAGCGGCAGACCCAGAGGCAGGTCCTGGAATTTGACAACCTCCAGTCTGGCCAGGGGTATTCCACCAGGCGCAGCACCCCGTCGCGAAACTCGATATGCCGCTGCCCGAGCATGTCATATCTGGCCGACAGCACCCTCGAGTCGGGCGGCGGCGCACCGATGCCGCCAGCGGCGGACCACGGCCCAACGGCCACGTGCGGCAGTGCCCGCGCCTGCGCAGCCGGTGCTGCAGTTGCCCCGGCGGGGGCTGCGGCGGCGGCCACAGGGACTGCCCGCGCCCCCACCTGCCGGCGCACCGGCAGGGTCGGTCAGCCTGTGGATCCCAGCAGCCACGCCTAGCACGTTCCCCCCCGCGAGCTCGAGGTCGAGTACGCCGAGAGGGGGGGCCTGGAAACCTGCTGCGGCGGCGCGGGCGGTGGCCGCGAAGGCCTCGGCTGCCGCTGGCAGCCATCTGAAACGGTGCACGTGGGCTCCGCCAAGCGCCGCCGGCGCAGCGCCTTGGCCGGCGAGCCGCACGACTTCGGCCACCTTTGGCCTGGGCGCGTTCGGCTCGCCGTAGTCGGATGTAGCTAAGCGCCCCGCGCTCCGCCAGCGTGAGGCGCGGGGCCAGGCACGCGGTACCGCACGGCATGGAAAGAGCCCGCCAGCAGCGGCCTTGCAGCCGCCGGAGGCGATTGGCGCGAGCTTGCTCGGCCGCGACCTCAGCGAGGTCGATCTCCTGGTCCAGCAGAGCCGATGGCTTGGCCGCCCGCTGCTCCAGCGACGAGATCGGCTCCTCGTCAGACGCGCGGGCGGCAGGACCCAGTGTGCGGAGCAGGCGGCACAGCTGAACCAGGCATCTGCGGGAGAACGCGATCAGCAGCTTCGCGAGCTCCAGGAACGCCAGCCCCAGGAAGCCTACGCCCACCTGCAAGCTCCACGCAGTCCCAGCGTCGCCTGCCTCCGGGCAGGCTGGGCAAGGGGTACACGGCGATGGGCAGATCGGCGCACCTCGACGGCGGCCGCGATGCAGTCCGCCAAAAGCACCAGCAGCGGCGAGGGAGCCTTCTCCACGGGCAGGGGCAGCTCCTGCGGCGCTGGCGGCGCGTGCGGCGCGGCCCGCCACCACCAGCGCGCAGCAGCTATCGCACCACAGTGGCAGAGAAGCTGAAGCCCGAATCCTCGGGCTTGGTTGAGTGAAGGGCGGCTGCGCCCTTAGAGACTTGAGCAAGTACGCCGACGGTTGACGTCGGTACGGCGGCCCTTCGGGGATTTGGCACGGCATTTGTGCTAGTGTAAAAGCGACCATATATGTGGACATATTCACACACATGTGTAAACAACACGTGTTGAAGAAATGTTGGAAAACATAAACCAGACAAGGAAATTCGAATAGCAAAAAACAGGACAATCACATTACCAACACACACACACAGAAGCACATTTGAAAACCAAATCAAAACAGCATTGAAAATGAGGGCATGCACAACAAAGAATATGCCACCACACCCCACCACCCACGAGACCATCAGAATCAATAGATTCGGAAGGAATACTGTTGGAGTTCCAGGCGAACGTGTACATGCGATGTACAGATGGACCTTGATAAATCATATCAGATGCTGTAAGGCCCTTTGACGAATGCAACGGATCAGAGGACCCCAGGAACAGGAACAACAAACCAACAAACACAAGAAGCATGAATAAACAACGAGGAAACAGAGAAAACCAAAAAATGTGTTGTGTGTTGCCCACCGTCCTCGTCACACACCCCACCCACCCACCCACCACACGCCACGCCGTCAGAATCAGTAGACTCGGGAAAAACACAACTGAAGCTCCAGTCGAATGTGCACAAATATCTACATTGCTCCTGGCCATTCGCATCACTTGCTGAGAGCCCCATGACCAGGGAAACGGGCCGGAGGACTCCCAACACAAAAAACGATGCGTGTATTTCAGCCGGGTGGGGAGGGGGGGGAATAGGCCAGGACCCATACATTTAGACCTGTAGATATTTGCAGATATACAAACATGTAGATCCACACATCTACTACATAGATACGTGTGTGTATATATATATATACGTATGTATGTATATATATATAGTGCTTTGCCCAGCCCGCCCTCTTAGTCAACGCACGATTTGATTTCAGCGTGAAGTACACATTCGGGTTCGCAACATGTTAAGACGCTATGTGATCCCTTCTCCCGCACATCGAAGGGCTGAACACGAACGTGTCAGCATCCCGCTACGTGGACTGGGCGACGCAGCGGCGCATCGCTTGCGGCAGCACTTGGAAACGATCTTGAGTTTGCACGCCAACGCTGACTCGAGAAAGGCATGGCCTGCTGAGATCGGCACGAGCACGGACGGATCGGAATGTTGATGAGCCGATTCCAGTTGCCCATTCCCCAAAATTCCCCAAAAAGGCGATGCACCAAGTCAGGCCAACTCCCAGGTTGCTAGACGGCATAATGTTTCACGTCGCGGCTTCCAGAACATATTGAAGCGCATCACAGTTGATTGTGAACGAACTCCGCGTTCGAGTAAACGTTCTGGAAATGCCGTGGGGGCCACCATCCGCGAAGTTGACGCCAGCAATGTGCACAAATACGCAATGGCAACAGCTACTATGCATATATACATATACACATATACATGTACATGTATATATATATATATATATACATGTACATCTATATACACAAGCATGTGTTTACATATAAAATATATATAATTATATATTTACATGCATACATGCATACATACATACATGTATACATATACATACATACATACATACATACATACAGACATACATATATATACATACCTACATATATGCATGCATACATGCATGCATACATACATACATACATGCATGTATACATACATACGTACGTACATGCATACATACATGCATACATGCATATATGCATAAATACATACATACATATATACATACATACATGCATACATACAAACAGACAACCAAACATACATACATACATACATATACATACATACATACATACATACATACATACATACATACGTACATACGTACATACGTACATACGTACATACGTACATACATACATACATACATACATACATACATACATACATACATACATACATACATACATACATACATACATACATATATACATACATACACATATACATATACATATACATGTATCGAAGTAGGCCGTGGGAGGGCCCAGAACTGTCGCCTCTGGTTCGTAAAGGGGGGGCCGGGGGGGTCTTGAGGGCCCAAGAGGGTTCAGAAGGGGCCCCGAACCCCCCCAGAGGCCCCCAGGCTGGCCCAAGAGGCGCCCAAAGCGCCCCAGGTTGTCTGGAAGGTGGCTGAAGAGCGCACTGAGATGGCACCTGGACGGGCCATGAGCGCTCGAAGACAGCCCAAGACCATTCCTAGACGGCCACACAGGCATCCAAGACGGTCGATGGGACCGCCGAGAAGGCCCTCCAAGGCCAAAAATCTTATCGGAAAAACGTATATTCCTTGGACGTTTGCTTCCCAGTCCTACCAGCGGCCGCGACGGCCCCGGAGGCTCCCCAAAATGAGCCCCCGGCGGCCTGAAGGGAGTTTCGAGCAGCCCAAGAGAGCCCCAAACACGGCCCAAGAGAGCACCCAGGAACCCCAAGGGGCCACCGGAGGACCCCTACCTGGTCGGAGAGGGCCCCCAGAGGGCCCCACGACGGGTTTCGGCCCCCACGGCGGACGCAGAGGCCGCGGAACCGCCGAATTGGGTTCCCAGAGGGTCCCAAAGAGGCCTACCAGACTTCCCTGAAGACGGTCCAGGAAGTCAGGAGGTTGTTGGGAAGGTTCCCGGGCGCAAAAGTTCGCATTTCCAATGGAAAAACGCACATTGCAGGAGGTCCTACCAGGTTTCCCTGAAGACGGTCCAGGAGGTTGCCGGGAAGGCTCCCGGGGGCAACCAACTAGCACTTCCATTGGAAAAACGCACATTTCTGTGAGATTCGCTTCTTATGTCCCATCGGCGGCCACATCGGCCCCAACGGCTCCCCAAATCAGCGCCTCACGGTCCACGAGGCCCCCAAAAGGGCTCCAAGACAGCCTCAAGAGAGCGTCGAGCAGCACAAGAAAGCTCCAAAACAGCCCGAGAGAGTACCCAGGGGGCCCAAGGGAGCCACCGGAGGATCCCTGCATGATCGGAGAGGGCTCCATGAGGGCCCCAAAACGGCTCAGTCACCCATGAAATGCCAAGAGGGGCTTAGGACAGCCGAAATGGGTTCCCAGACGGGCCACAAAAGGCCCAAAATTACCCCCCCACGATTGTCCAAGAGGCCGCTGAGAAGGCCCTCCAAAGACAAAAATCAAGCATTTTCTATGGAAAAACATATGTTTCTGGGAGCTTCGCTTTTCAATTCTACCAGCGGTCACGCCAGCCCAACAGGTACCAAAACAAGCCCCCGACGGCCCCAGAGGCCGCAAAGAGGGTTCCAAGATGGGTTGAAGAGAGCATCAAGCGGCGCAGAAGAGCTACAAGACGGCCCAAGAGAGCCCCCAGGGGCCCGAGGGGGCCACCAGAGGATTCCTACATGGTCGGAAAGGGCCCGAAAAGGGCCCCAAGACGGGCTGAGCTCCCCACGACGAGCCAAGAAGGACCCAGAACGGCCGAAATGGGCCCTCAGACGGGCCAACAAAGGCCCCAAAGGACTCCAAAGGAAGGCCCGGAGAGGCTCCAGAGACTGCCACAACGCTTCTCAAAAAGGCTCCCGGCACGCGGTCCACTAGGCACCCGTGTATTGGGCGCGTTGAGAGAGGAAAGGAGGAGGAGGAGGAGGAGGAGGAGGAGGAGGAGGAGGAGGAGGAGGTGGGAGGGAGGAGGAGGAGGAGGAGGAGGAGGAGGAGAGGAGGAGGAGCAGGAGGAGGAGGAGGACGAGGAGGAGGAGGAGGAGGAGGAGGGGGAGGCAGATCAGGAGGACGAAGAGAGGGAAGAGGAGGAGGGACATTGTTCTCGTAAGATTATCTTGTTCTCTGATTATCTGGCTCGGGGAGGCATGCTGAGGACGAAGAGGGAAGGGGCGCGCAGGATGAAGAGGGCTCGGGAGGAGGAAGGGGGTGAAGTAGGTGAAGGAGCACAAGGAGGGACACACCGAAGAGCGGGGAAGACAGGGAGGAGGAGGAGGAGAAGAAGGAGGAGGAAGAAGAGGAGGAGGAGGAGGAGGTGAAGGAACAGGGATCCCTTCCAGGGAAGCGCCGACGAGGACAAGGATGAATATAAGATGATGGGAAGAGGGAGTACGGGCAGAGGAGGAGGGTAAGGCAATTGCAGTGGACCAGGGATGATGACGGCGATGACGGCGATGACGTTGATGATGATGATGATGATGATGATGATGATGATGATGACGATGACGATGATGATGATGATGATGATGATGATGATGATGATGATGATGATGATGATGATGATGATGATGATGATGATGATGATGATGATGATGATGATGATGATGATGATGATGATGATGATGATGATGATGATGATGATGATGATGTGGTGGTGGTGGTGGTGGTGGTGGTGGTGGTGGTGGTGGTGGTGGTGATGATGATGGTGATGATGATGATGATGACGATGGCGATGACAATGACTATGCCGACGACGACGCCGACGACGACCAACAAGATCTTGATGATGAGGACGATGATGCGGAGAAGTACGATGGCGATGATGGCGATGGTGATCACGATGCTGATTGCAATGGTGACAATGATGATTGTTGTGAAGGTGACCACGACGATGACGATGAAGATGACGGGGATGAGGATGAGAATGATGACGATGATCATGACCCTAGCTAGAACTTGAGCGCGCGCGAGGCGCGCGCGATGGTTTCGGTCCCAGGAGTCTCCCAAGAGGCTCCGAGGCGGGGTCTGGGATACCAGAAGGTACGTCGGGGCTCGATTTTGGGAGGATGTCTCAGGCGAAATCGCCATTCTCTGAGAATCGGGGTCAAAATCCTTGAAATTACAATGTGGTTTGAAGGTTTCTGTTAGAATGTTGATATT